AGTTGTTTCAAGTCTGAATGTTACATAAATAAAAATAATTCTCAGATATTTCTTTGGGCTTATCAAAAGAAAAATGACATTTGTAAAGTTCCTGAAAAGAGCACAGATCTCTAATGGCACTTTTAAAATGCTGACACAAATTTCCTGTGAGGGTCACAGACAATGAGGATATTTTAAAGCCTTATTTAGCCAAGGAAGACCTGGGAAGGATGTTGACACAACACACACAGTTCAGACATGAAATCTAGGGGCCCAGCTGCCTCTTCTGGTAGAGGGAATATTGTCCAAGGCATTAAATGTGAGTTAGTAATAGTTTTTGAAAGCTCAAAAAGCATTTTTTCCCTCCAGTAGTTTTCTGATATTGATTAATTTATCACATCCTGAAAATTTAGGTATTTGGTTCTCAGTGTTTTTTCAAACTGCAGAATAGTATTACTGTAATTTAGACAGTGTTCCTAATATAAAGTCACACCTGTATATGCCTCAAAGTCTTGTTTTTAGCTTTTAAAAATAGCCCACCAAACTTAGTGCACTATTTTATTCTCGGCTCCATCTTGCCTCAGAACCAGAACTGCTCCATCTGCTCAAGCAATCGGTTCTTTCAGAGAGGAGCCTGAGTGGATTATAAAGACTGTCTTTATGCACATGGCTTTCCAGCTCCCCTAGCCTTTTGGATGGCTCAAGAAGAAAAAGTTGCCAGAAAAACACACACACAACTCTCCTCTTTGTCAGCCAAAAGCAGGCCCCCAGAGAACTCTGCCAAAGGGAAGCGGAAGACCATAAGATTACCCCCTCCGGACTGTGAGTGATGGGCTAGCCAACAAAGACAGAAAGAAGTACTGTGCCTGGCAAGTGATGTCTATAAAAGGCCAGTCTTTTCTCACAAATCTGAGTAGCAACTGAAGTGACAAGAAAGGGAAGAGGCAGGAGGAGAAAAGCAGAGGGAGGGAGACGTGGAGGCTGGCATCAGCAGTCACGGCGATGGCCGCACTGCCTGTTTTTAGAAGCAGTGACAGATACAATCAGCTGAAAACAGCAGAGAAACAAATCACAGAAGGCAGAAGACAGAACAGCTTTGCTGCTGTGGGAGACAACCAGCCACCTGTCTCTGGTTTCTGTCGCCCTTTGGGATCTAGGGCAGGGAACGCCACCCCAGGCAGGGTGGAATGAGGGCAGGCAGCTGCCACCAGCACCAATGGACCGACAAGGGCCGTGGGGTCCCCTCAGTGCGTTACAGCTGTCCCTGAATCATCTCCACCTGCATCCACGGCACAGCCTAGGCCGCTGGCTTTCATGTCCCTCAGCACTTTCTGATTCAGATAAATGATGTTTCCTCAGTCCTGGCTCCCCGCATCTATCCAGATTGCTGCCCTTACATCTCTCCCGCAGAGAAAACCAGGAGTCACCACTATAGTCACCCTATGACTTAACACAAACTGTTAACTGTATTCTGTTTAAAGATGTCAGGGAAGCATCTGCCGTGCTTCACAAAAGAGATGCCCTTTAAGGAAAAAGTTAAAACTTTATGGCTACACATTAAAACGGCTGGTCCACTATCACAGGGAAAATCCCAGCTGTCCAGCTCATTACCCATAGACAGCTGTGAGTTTACTTTAGATACTCTCTGTGGTTCAAATGGCATTTCAAGTTCCTCTATAACAATAAAGGTTCTGGGTTTCTGAAGGGTGCTAAAATGAAGGGCTGTAGTGATCATCTTTTTAGTAAAGTCAGGGCAGGTGATGGAAACAGAAAGCATCCATCGGTTCCTATGACTAACTGCATAGAGCAAGACTAGGGTGCACTGTGCTGACCACCCTCCTCTTCCCTCATAGCCTGGCCACTTCCCGCAGGCAAGAATGCATACCACCATCAACACATGTCTCCCAAAGTTTGGGCTCCTCCATGCCTGCTTTTTCATGAGGCTCTCTGTGACCCCTTCAGCTGGAAGTAACTTCGCCCTTCTCACAGCTCTAATGACATGGCAACCTTCTCCTGGAACCTTGCTCTCTACCTGTGCTGGAGTCATTTGTGGGTGTGACTGATCTCATCCACAGGACTGGAAGCCCCTAACTCTGAGTCACCTTCGTGTCTCTCTCCCGCTGCCCCTGAGCCCAGCACTCGGCTCCTAGCAGGTGTGGATTAGGTAGGTAGGTGCTGGCTGACTGGGGACAGGACTAGGCATGTCCCCACATGCCTTCTCTCTGCACTGTACTACCACCTGTAGGGTGCCACGGTCCAGAATCTGGACTCTGAAGCCAGGTTAACAGGAATTCTGGATCCCAGGACCAGTTCTCAATAGCATGGTGCCATGGTTTCCTCATCTCTAGAGTGTTAATAGCAGTAATAATGACCTCCTATAGTCGTCCTGAGGAACAGAGGAGTTGATCCCTATAACATAACTTGTATAGTGTTGCTGCAAAGCAAGTGTCCCCAAACGTTAGCTCTTACTGCTATGAAAGCCAGGGCTTGGTCACCAAGGATGCTCATTCTGTGTTGCCACCTGGTTAACCACAGAATCAGAGTCCACAGTACTTCTAGATTTTAATTTGTATAAAAAATGGTGACTTCAGAAGAATTTTTCATTCAAGCCTCATCTGACTATCTTAGATGAATAGGCTTATGGCTTTAAATCCATCTCCCAGGTTGTTACAGCTAAATGTACAAGATTAACATCCACATAGCACAATCTTCAGAAAATGTTTTTTTCTGAAGTATCTTTTAATACTGCCTTACTTAACTCTCTCACATTTTAGGAATGACTATGTATGTTACCATGAAACACAATCCCATGGTCCTTTATAGAAATCAAAAGAAAATAACTTGATCATAGGCACTAAGGGACAGGAGCCTGGAAACTGATAAGCTAGAGAAAGTCATCCAAGTAAAACTTGGCCTCACTCAGGACCTTATGAGACAAGTACCACACAGGTCATTGGTAGGGGCGGGGAGGCTCCTGAGGAAAGCCCGGTGCTCCCTCCATTACCTGAAGTTCAGCGTGAAGCCTCCACGGGGCTGGGGTTGGTGTGATGACCCATGGGGGCTTGTGTTCACTCTGACAACCTGAGAGGGTCTTCCAGTTCGATTCACCACCAGGAAACAGTGACTGCCTCCCTGGAAGGAGCAGTAAGATCCCTAGCCTTGGTTCACTGTTCAAGCGCATGAACTAAGTAAGGCTCTCTCAATGTTCACTCCCTGGGCACTTTTCTTTCCTAACTTCTGGTTCAGATTCCAACTTCAAGACATGCAGTTTTCCTTAACAAAGAGTCTGCTGAGCCTCTCCATGATGTGACTGCTCTGCTTTGTCACATCAGGAACACTCAAAGGGACATGGCTCCAATACAGCACCAGTGAGGTCAGGCCGGCCAATGATTCAGCACCAGCGAGGTCAGGCGGGCCAACATGGCCCCAATACAGCACCAGCGAGGTCAGGCGGGCCAAATTCACTGTTGGGCTCAGCCCTTATGAGTCCATTCTGGCTTGGACCCCACGGTCACAGCTAAGCCTCCATGCCACAGGCAAATTCAGAGTGACAGGTAGGTAAGTCACAAAGGCAGTGGAGAAAGGTTTCTATTCCAGCCACATTGCCCTGGCTTTGGGGAAGGGAAGAAGCCTGTATATGGATCCAAATGTGTATTGAGGAACTACGGGTGAGGAGCAGCAGAGGGGGGAATCTAAAGAAGGAAACTAGTGTGGGGGTTTCCCTTGCCTCTGGATAGAACTGTTAAGCTTCCTTGGGGAAATGTTTCTCTTTGCATGCTGCCTGGCTCGCCATCTTCACAGTGGAGTTCTCTGGGTCCTGAGTCTTGGAGCGTGGTGGGCACAGATTAACGACTGGGGACTCTACTGCTAAGGACTCAGCATTGCCATTTGCTGCACATCTTGCTGAGGTCTCATGCCCCAGATAGCAACTGGTTTCTTGCCTTATTTCTAGTAACCATGAAGTGGGCACTGGCCCGGTCACCAAGCTTTAGCCCCAAATCTTGTAATGTCTGTTCTCTTAGTTTTTCATTTTGAACCTCTCCCTTGGTTCTCCTACTGGAATCCCACACTTTTAGAAACGGGACCTCCTCTTTTTCTCCAGGGATTAAAGCCTGTTCCAAGCCTGCGGGGACTTCCTGGGCTGCTCACCAGCCACCAGCTCCTCCAAGGCTGTGTCTTAGCTGTACAGCATTGAAGCTCCCTGATGCTGGTTGCCTGACCCCTACAGAGAACCTATGGTCAGACCTCACTTCTGCCTCCACCCCAGCCACAGGCCAACACGGCACACTACCCACCCACCACCCACTGGCAGCCACCCTGAAGCTTGCTGGGCATGCATGTGCTCCTGCAGGCTACTTCTTGCTTCCTTCTGCTGGGTGCTGCCAATCTATGTCTATCCAGTATGTTTTCATGTGTGGTTGCCCTGCTCCAAGGGGGCAATAGATGGGGAAGCAGATGTCTCCGAGAGGACCTGTCCTCCTGCCAATAGGACCCCACAATGTGATCAATTGATTCACTGTGTGATGACCAAAGTCCATACAGCTGCTTCAGTTACAGTTTGCTTCAGAAGTTAAGACAAATCTTGTTTGTCTTCTGAAAAGTACAGATTCCGTTTCCCAATTCAAAAATACATTTGCCTCTGCATCATCATTCTGGTCATTCTGTTTAAAATTTCAACCCCCATCCCTAGAATTCTCTATCCATTTCGCCTTATTTTTTCTTAGCATGTTTTATGAACATACTGGATGTTTTATTTAGTTATCTTGCCTTCTGCTTATCCCTTCTAGTAGAATATAAGCCCCACGAGAGCAGGGATTCTGATTTATTTATTATCTTTGTACCCAGAGCAATTTCTGGCCTAGAAAAGTCACTCAGTGAGTATCAGTGATGTAAAGAAAGGAGAGAGTGGTGAATGAATGGGCATGCCTGCTTCTCATTGGCCACCCAAGGCTGTGGGCATTCACCTGTCCGTCATGCCCGGGAAGCCCGGCCTTCCGCCCCCCATAGGGTGCAGCGCTCACCTTTAGCTTGTGCTCATGCTCCTTGTTGACACGGGCAAGCAGCTGGGCTTTCCTCCGGTTGAGGGCATCAATGAGGGCATCACATTGCGCCACCAGGCAGGCCTCGAACTCCACACTGTTCTCCTGTGTGAGAGAGCATGGTGTTCAGTGGAGAACTGACCTGGTGCCTTGGGCGGCCAGAGACTGCAGAGCCCCAGTCCATCTGTGGGGGGAGGTCCCTGCTGAAGGGAAGGAAGAGGAGCCCTGCCCACTGTGCACACATGCATTTTATAAATAGCAAAATAAATTTTATTCTGCAGGGGTAGTGTTTCACTTTAGAGTCAAAGAGGTAAATGTTACTTAATACATTTGTTTTTATCAAGAGGAAATCATCTCTGCAATTTGAATTCTATCAAGTAAGATAAAGTTTTAGTTTTTTTTTTACATTTTTTATGCAAAGTTTTAGTTTGTAGAATTGAACATGAGTTGTTTTGAGGGCTGGCATATGACCAGTTGTGCATGGTGGAAGGTGGCATTCAGAAAGGCTGGTTGCCTGAGGGAGTCAGGTATTGTTGAGGCATGAGAGTAGAAGAATCATTGAATTTAGAGGTAGAAAGAAGAAAGCAGATGGCAATGGTCTTCAATATTAAACAATAATCCAATGACAACAGAAGTTTAGATGAATAGTCATGGGCAAAACACTTGCTCTTTTCATTAAAAAAGCAAGTAATGAGTGCAGGTGGGCAGTGAAGAATCACTGGTATATGTAACAGGCATCAGCTTGCTGTGAAAGCCAGCTTGTGGCGGAACAGTAACCCTGCTCTAAATGGATCATAACTTTCCCATGATATTTAAATTGAATGCTGGATCTAAATTTTTTTTACGCGTGTGTGTAGTCGCTCAGTCATGTCTGACAGAGAGACCCTTTGGACTGAAGCCTGCCAGACTCCTCTGTCCATGGGATTTTTCAGGCAAGAATACTGGAGTGGGTTTCCATTTGCTTCCTCCAGGGGATCGTCTGGACCCAGGGATCGAACCCAGTCTCCTGTGTCTCCTGTATTGCAGGCAGGTTCTTTATCCATTGAGCCATGCTATAGACATTTTTAAAAGCAATTCTCTCATTAAATCATAAGCATTCATTAGAGGTAATCCTTTCAATAAGTTATATACATAGCTTTGATTCTCAAACCATAATCTGGAAAACAATTGTAATTTACAGCCAATGAGAGCTAAATACTTGTTACATGTACAGTAATAGCATTGAAAAAATAGTACTCAACTGAGTAAGCTGTAAAATTTGGGGGGTTAGAAATGAAGGAACAGCTCAGCCTATCAAATTTAAATTAATTCTCAGTCATCCAGAACTGTGTCTCTTAATATAAGGATCAGCAGTTAGGTATTAGGTCACTGTTCCAAATGCAAGGTCTTCTTTGTATAAGGCATGCATTTACAATTGCTTGAGCAATGACATCTACAAATATTAAATTTTGACTTTGACAGTAATTTGCTTTCGAGTTCTCACAGAAGAGCCCTGGAAGTCATCACCGCAGAGCTATGTACCAAGCAGGTTGTTATTGGTAGGGAGGGGGAAGCTTTTTCAGTAAAGGCTCTGATAGAGTAAAAGAAAGCTCTGTTCTGATGAAGAGGTGACGTGCAGGGGTGAGCCTGGGGCTGCACACTTTATGCCAGCAGGAGCAAAGAAGGGACCAATTGATAAACTTTGTTGTTTTGGAGAGCAGAAGGAAATATACAACTGTTAGGTTGTTAGGGACTCAAAAGTTTTAACAGGGGCCTGTATGTCAACAAAGGGCAAAAAAAAAATCAGTGTGAGGTGCTCTAGAAGGCTGGCTTACATTTAAAAAGCCATTTCTGCCTTGACATGGGTTAGATATTAACTCAGAAAGTCAATCTACTGGAGGCCAGCGCTCAGATTATTTCTGTGAGGCAAACTTGAAAATATAAGAACATTAAACAGTGTAGAAGGTCATTATTTTAGCATTTCACGCAATTTAATGGTTTCTCCCTTTCAGCTGTAATAGGAAGTTCACAGGTTCTCAAATGCCAAGTGATTTGTTGGTTACTGTGTCCACATAAAGTAATCTGAAATTATAGTTACCATGGGATCATGGTTGAAAAATATTTAAGTATCTAGGTAGAGCAGAAGCATTATTATAGGATAGGAAGGAAGGAATGAAAGAGGTAAAAGAGAAAATGTGACCTGTTTGTTACTATTAGATAAGATATAATTTTTGCAAGGTGCTTTGGGAACATGTAGATTTAGAAAATTCAACAATAATGACTGAATTCACAAAGAAATAGATGTCTTTCTGAATGCACCGCAGCAGAGAATCAGGAGCTCAGTGTGGAAGATGGGAACCTCTTGGAAACTGGGGTTATGTCCTTGGCTTGTTGGGGAAATGTAACCCTCTTGAAAAGGGGTATATTTGAAGTTGTTCTGTATGTGTGTTTGCATGTATTAGAATAGAAAGAGCAGGAAAAAAATATGTAGGAAATTTCCTAGGAAACATAAAAATAAAAGATAAGACACGGAAACAGTCCCCCCAGCCCCCCCACCACCCCAGGTACACAGTTACATCTTAGCACATGGGCTTTGCTTTCTGCCTTGGTTGCTGCCAATACCTGGATCTGCTGGACCATGTTGCGCAGCTGTACCAGGAACTCCTTGGCTTCCTTGGCCCTGTCTGACAGCCCGTTCAGCGCCTGGGAGAGCTGGCTCTGCAGAGACAAAGAAGGAAACCATAGAGCGCTCATCACAGGAGGCAGCCACACAGGGTGGTTTTCATCCAAGAGCCCTCAACATTTCAGATTCCTCTTGTCTCAGCTGGACCACTGAGCCAACACCTGTAACTTGAAGATTCTGGTAATAACAGCATCCCTACTCCTTCCAGAAGCCCCTGAGGAGCATTTCCTCTGAAGCAGTGAAAACTTCTGGCCGCTGTAGTCAAAGGCCCTTACCAGCTGATATCTGCCTAGAAGTCCCTCATCTTATTAATTACTTGATTAATTCAATAATAGTTTATTTAACTTTAAATTAAAAAAAATAGTGATTCAGGTGATCTGATACTTATCAACACTATTTAGCCCAAAGTGCTACTGGGATGACAGCAGAAAGAATGAAGAGTTAAAAGGATGAGGGAAGAAAGGGTGAGAGCACCTGTGATGCCCAGGGTCACTTATACGTAATGGTGAATACAAAGGGCAAGATGAGGCTCCTTCTCATCAACCTTTTCCCAAGAACATCTTCCTTCTCTCAAGCACAGCCCACCCCAGCTCCTCTCCACACTAGCCTCCTAAAGCAAGGTGTACTTTCTTCCTTTCCACACCGCACAGGGGACCCACAACTGCTTGATGAGATCTAAGTGGAAGCTGGCTGGAGGCTGGATGGCTGAGAAAGCTTCTGCTTTTCTGCTAACATGGGACCAGTGTGGCTGGTGCAGCCTCTTCCCTTTTGCTTCCAACTTTACGGCAGATGGTCTGGGACTCTCAAGAAGCAAAGATCAACATGGGAAGGGAGGATGGTGAAAGGAGACAGTGCCAGGTTCCATCGGCATCTTTTAGCATCTGAACCAACACTTGAAGTCACCTACCACCAGGCCTCTTGTTATGTGGGGGAAAAGTTACCTCCTACAGTTCAATCCTTATACAGGAGCTCACCATTACTTGCAGTCAATACCACTGTCAGTTCAGTTCAATTCAGTTGCTCAGTCGTGTCCGACTTTTTGCAAGCCCATGAACTGCAGCACACCAGACCTCCCTGTCTATCACCAACTCCCGGAGTTCACCCAAATCCATGTCCATTGAGTCGGTGATGCCATCCAACCATCTCATCCTCTGTCGTCCCCTTCTCCTCCTGCCCTCACTCTTTCCAAGCATCGAGGTCTTTTCAAATGAGTCAGCTCTTCACATCAGGTGGCCAAAGTATTGGAGCTTCAGCTTCAACATCAGTCCTACCAATGAACACCCAGGACTGATCTCCTTTAGGATGGACTGGTTGGATCTCCTTNCAGTTTATTGTGATCCACACAGTCAAAGGCTTTGGCATAGTCAATAAAACAGAAATAGATGTTTTTCTGGAACTCTGTTGCTTTTTCAATGATCCATCGGATGTTGTCAATTGATCTCCGGTTCCTCTCCCTTTTCTAAAACCAACTTGAACATCTGGAAGTTCACGGTTCACATATTTCTGAAGCCTGGCTTGGAGAATTTTGAGCATTTCTTTACTAGCGTGTGAGATGAGTGCAATTGTGCGGTAGTTTGAGCATTCTTTGGCATTTCCTTTCTTTGGGATTGGAATGAAAACTGACCTTTTCCAGTCCTGTGGCTACTGCTGAGTTTTCCAAATTTGCTGGCATATTGAGTGCAGCACTTTCACAGCATCATCTTTCAGTATTTGAAATAGCTCAACTGGAATTCCATCACTTCTACTAGCTTTGTTCATAGTGATGCTTCCTTAGGCCAACTTGACTTCACATTCCAGGATGTCTGGTTCTAGGAGAGTGATCACACCATCATGATTATCTGGGTTGTGAAGATCTTTTATGTACAGTTCTTCTGTGTATTCTTGCCACCTCTTCTTACTGGATACAAAATTCCTCCCCTAGCAGCTGGGGCAACATCCCTCCTGGAAATTACAAACTCCTTTCCCAACATCACCTTCTTTGAAAACTAAAGCCTTTTCTCCTTCTTGCTAATACAATGCATTATCCACTCATCTTTTTAGTAAAAGAGTAGAATCTTAAAATTGTATTTCTTGGTCGCATGGAGGTTTTTTGCTTATATATGCATGACTAAATAGGAAGTCAGGCACTGAATCTCTTTAAAAATGTGCATGCTGCATGCCACTGTGGAGTGGGAGAGCACAGGCTTCAGAAGGGTTCAGATACTGTCCTTTCCTAAGCATCACCTTGAGAAAGTGACCACTGTCAGAGTTACTCCAATGGAAAAAGTGGGAAAAATAATGCTTAGCGGTTGGACTATTTTGAGGGCTGAGTACATTCATCAATGTGATGGCTCCTGCTAACAAAGAATCATGGTAAGGGAAACCACTCTAAACTTATAAATGGTGCCAGTGAGTGGCTGTTCATATCTCACACATAGCTCTACCTCATCCATAAATACGAAAACTATAGTTCTTAGTGCTGTGGGCATTGCCTGAGGTACTGTATATAAGCCAAGAACCCCGCTGGCACATGGTGCGTGTGTAATAAATGTTGGCTGTTATCATCTGTTCCTTCCTGCCCATAACCCTCCATGGACTGATTAGGGTGGGATTTGCAGGGCAGATTCCTGGAACAGGATCTGTTGGAGGATACCCTTCATTGCTTGTATTTTGATTGAGGTACTCAGACTCCAGGAATCTAAACCAAGACAGCCTAGGAAGAAAAGGAACATAGCTTACAGTTGCTGAAAGGGCTACTCAGTTATTGAATACTAGGTCCAGCTGCACTATGTGCTGTGCTGTGTTTAGTCGTGTCTGACTCTTTGCAACCCCATGGACTGTAGCCCGCCAGACTCCTCTGTCCATGGGGATTCTCCAGGCAAGAATACTGGAGTGGGTTGCCATGCCCTCCTGCAGGGGATCTTCCCAACCCAGGGGTTGAACCCAGGTCTCCTGCACCGCAAGTCAATTCTTTTATCATCTGAGCCACCAGGGAAGCCCATGAATACTGGAGTGGGGAGCCTATCCCTTCTCCAGGGGATTTTCCTGACCCAGGAATCGAACTGGGATCTCCTGCACTGCAGATGGATTCTTTACCAGTAGAGCTACCAGGGCAGCCCCAGCTACACTATAACTTGGGGTAAAAATTTTCTTCTCAAGAACTTTTTTAGAAGCCCAAGGGATAAAGAGAGTCTCATTTGGAACAGATGGCAATAGAATGACAATCATATTCTAAAGGAGACATTGTGTTATTGTGACTTTCGAATTCATATTCCCTATTTTCCTGAATGAGTCAGAGTTTGCTGGGCTACCACAGTTTTCTTCCCCCTTTATTGTAACCTATGCCTTAGTTATCACATTTGGAGGTTTGAGTAGAGAAGTCAAATTCATTCAACTACACAAAACTAGAGCCACCTGGTTTCTTATAGTCTAGCCTTGTAATTCAAGGCGTCTGTATAATATAAGTCAGACCTGATGCCCAATAAGAATTGTTGATCAAGTGCTGGTATATACGTAGAAAAAAATTATACTATAGTACAAAATTATACTATAGTAGACAAAGAGTGCTGGCCTCACCTACTCCCTGGATTAAACTGCAAAACTCAATTTATTTGCAGATTTCCTCCCTTTGTGTCTACATTCATGCCTTCTTCCTGGCTAATGATTGTCCTGGTATTTGATAAACAACTGCATTATAAGATAAATATCTAGAAACCTTTCTCTTAAGCTTTGCCACCTTGTAGAAATGGAGCAGCAGACAATGAAAAATCCTGGAAACTATTTATCATTAGAAAATACTCTTCTTCTAAGGATTTATATGTGTATTGCTTTTATAGGACAGTCTTTTGATCATATTTATAAGCCACATCTGATGTAAAGAACATTATTATTTATTTATTTTGTTTCCCAGGAGCATTTAAATTCCTGCTCTATGCTAACAGAGATGTCCTGTACTCAGGACCACAGAGCAGCCCTGTAAATTTATACCAGAACACAGAAGATGCAAATATTTAGTGTGTGTTTTTGGCTGTATATGTAGCCATCAGAAGCTGTCTGTAATGCCTAAGCAATAACATTCTGATGTCTTGGATATTTGTTTTCTGATTTACTGAAAAGGTATCATAATCAGAAAGTGAATGGGAGTGGGAAAATGATGAAGCCAAAGAAGCACTGACAGATTTCCAGTCCAGAGCTCTGAGTATGCTCGGAATAACCAAGATCGCCCAGAAAGATGGCAAGTTGTTCCGAGCTTGGAGGAGAGAAACAAAGAACTCCACCCATTCCCTCCTTCTCTCCTGCGTTCCCCCTCCAACTTCTCCTCTGACTGGCTCCCCTAGCCTCCCAAAGGAGTATATGTTAAGAGAGATCAGAGCTCAACCTGGGAGCCCCTGTGGAGCATGTCTCAGAACCACAATCATTTAGGCTCAGGAAACAGGTAATGATTTCAGTGCATGCGCCCAGCTGCCAAGTTTTCCCAGACAGAAAACCACATCTTCTTTCCTTTTCCCTCTGTGAACATTATTCATCTGTCATTTCCCCCCTCAGTTTATTAATACTATGAATACTGGATGGAGACAAATAAGAACAAATGAAAGGAAACTTCCTAGTTGTCTAGGATCTGAAACTATAGGCAGGAGATGGGTCTCAAACAGTCAACCAAGAATCATACAAAATAGGTGAGGTGGCAAACATGCAAAGGCAGCTTGGTGGCCCAGAACAACCTTACTCCTTCCCTGGGCAGCTCTGACATACTGCACCCTGCTGCAGACTGTGACCCATGCCTCCTGCTTCCTGGGTACCAAGGTCAACACAAAACACAGAAATGAGGATCAATGCAATGCTATTTTGAAGGATATGTGTATCATGCCTATGACCTGTATGCAGGTCAGGAAGCAATAGTTAGAACTGGACATGGACCAACAGACTGGTTCCATATAGGAAAAGGAGTACGTCAAGGCTGTATATTGTCACCCTGCTTATATAAATTACATGCAGAGTACATCATGAGAAATGCTGGGCTGGAGGAAGCACAAGCTAGAATCAAGATTGCTGGGAG